ACGGCCACTAATGGCCAAAATGCCCAAACGGCCACTACTGGAAAAAATGCCTGAACGACCACTACTTGACAAAAAGTCAAAACATCCATTAGTGGACAAAATCCCCTAACAGCCACAAGTGGACAAAATGCCTAAACGGCCACTAGTAGCTAAAATGCCTAAAGGGCTACTAGTGGACAAAATGCCCAAACGGCCAGTACTGGCAAAAATGCCCAAACAGTCACTAGTGGCCAAAATGCCTACACAGCCACTAGTGGCCAAAACACCCAAACGGCCTGTAGTGGCTAAAATCCTTAAACGGCCACTAGTGGATAAAATGCATTAACGGCCACTAGTAGCCAAAATGCCCTAACGGCCACCAGTGGCAAAAATGGCTAAACGACCACTAGTATACAAAACGCCCAAACGACCACCAGTGGACAAAATGCCTTAATGGCCACTAGAGGGCAAAAAGCCCTAACGGCCACAAGTAGACAAAAGGCCTAAACGGCCACTAGTGGAAAAAAATTCCTAAACGGCCACTGAAGGCCAAAATGACTAAAAGGCCTAGTGGACAAAATGTCCTAACGGCCACTAGTAAGCAAACTGCCTAAACGGCCACAAGAGCACAAACTACCTAAACTTCCACTACTAGACAAAACGCGTAAACAGCCACTTATAGCCAAAATGCCCACTCGGCCACCAGTGGAAAAAAATGCCCTAACGGCCACTAGTGGACAAAATGCCTAAACGGCCCACTAAAGGACAAAATGCACAAACTGCTATTAGTAGAAAAAAAGCCTAAACGTCCATCGGAGGCCAAAATGCCTAAACGGCCGCTAGTGGCTACAATGCATTAACAGCCACTAGTGGACAAAAAGCGTTCACTGCCAGTAGTGGACAGAGTGCCTAAACGGCCACTAGTGGCCAAAATGCCTAAACAGTTACCAGCGGACGAAATGCCAAAACAGCCACTAGTGGACAAAACGCCTAAACGGTCAGTAGGGGACACATTGCTTAAACGGCCACGAGTGGCCAAATTGCCGAAACGGTTACTAGCGGGCAAAATGCCCAAACGGCCACTAGTGGACAAAAAGCCTAAACGGCCACTCGTGGACAAAATTCCTCAACTGCCACTAGACGCCAAAATGCCTGAAAGGCTACTAATGGAAAAAAAAGTCCTAACGGCCACTAGTGGACAAAATGCCTAAAAAGCTTCTAGTGGACAAAATGCCTTAACGGCCACTAGTGGACAAAATGCCTAAAAAGCGTCTAGTGAACAAATTACCTTAACGGCCACTAGTTGACATAATGCCTAAAAAGCCTCTTGTAGACAAAATGCATGAACGGCCACTAATGGACAAAATGCCCTAACGGCCACTAGTGGACAAAATGCCTTAATCTAGTGGCCACTAGTGGCCAAAATGCATAAACGATCACTAGTGGACAAAATGCCTAAACAGCCACTAATGGACAAAATATCCTAACGGCCACTAGAGGCCAAAATGCCTAGACGGCCACTAGTGGGAAAACTGCCTAAACTGCCACTACTGGACAAAAATGCCTAAACGGCCACGGGCCAAATGCTGAAACGGCCACTAGTGGACACAATGCGTAAACGGCCACTAGTGGACAAAATGCTTAAACGGCCCTTAGTGGGGACAATGCCCTAACGGCCACTAGTGGCCAAAATGGCTAAACGGCTACTAGTAGGCAAAATGGCCAAACGCCCACTAGTGGACAAAATGCTTAGACGACCATTAGTGGAGAAAATGCCCTAACGGCCACTAGTGGTCAAAATGGCTAAACGGCCACATGTAGACTAAATGTCCAAACGCCCACTAGTGGACAAATGCCTTAATGGCCACTAGTGGGCAAAATGCTTAAACGGCACTAGTGGAAAAAGGCCTCAATGGCCACTAGCCAAATAAATAGGGACCTGACGATTTGAGGACGACGTCTTCTTCTAGGACTTCACGGCATATAAAGGCGTGTGGCGAGAACGCCGTTCTTTGTGCGGGAATTTAGAGAGAAAAGGTATTAACAAGGCGCGAACTTTTTCCAGCCCCTGGTCGAG